TGATGGTGTATATAATTTACGTGAATTTACAATTTGAAATTAACATTATAACGGAATATAAAATCACGGCTCGTAATCACAAAGTGTAATACGATGGTAATAAGAAGCAGAAGACATCTCATTTCAAATACAGCTGTGTGCTAAATTAGCTACGTGATGTACGGTTGTCATTTTTATTTGACAAAAACGTAGGTATAATATCAAGTGAGCAAAAAACGGAGCTGGAAAAAGAGACCAAAAATCATGAACATATTTGCATAAATTGATTCATTAAACTAGAACACAGAATGTTCTTACGGTTTTTTGTTTGGGAAGCCAAGACACCGAAGACTAATGAACTAAGTACCAAAATCTCAGTACAAATAGGTTTTCGATAGATATTATTCTCAAGGATTTAATTACCGCGTTGTGCGTGTGTGAGAACACAAATATACGAGCACTCGTAAATAATAGGAGCAAATAAAAACTTGATGGCATACATGTGTATTCGAGTAAGAGTTGGTAAGTTTAATAACCATATACTATTTACTATAAGCATTCATCATCATTCACTGAAGATACTTTTGCCCTTTCCTTTGCATTGTGTCAAAAAAAAATACTTGTAAGCAAAAACATTTTTCAATTAGTTTAAAATTACAATTGTTACCTTCACGAAGATTTTATAAACGAAGTTTCGTAATATACTGTAAAATATGAAAACTGTATAAATGTAAAAAAGGTAGATGGTATAAAAAGCAATATTGCAGAATTAGTGTTTGCATAATTCAGACGCTAACAGACGACCAAAGCTCTTTGCGGTGAAACGATGCGAGAGCACGAATCTCGGACGCCTCCACTAGGAACTATATTTTATGTAATTCTCTTTTTAATTATATTTAATTACAGATCATTATTGTTTGCAAACTGTTTATACACGAACAAAATCGTAATTCTACCTGTATAAATATTATTTTATATCGAGACAATGCAGCCAGCATTTAAGGGAATACTGCCACAGGGACCAAACTTTTAAAATTTGTTTTAGTTCTCATATTTATCAATTTTCAATTATTATTACTATGTAGGTAGCTTAAGTATATTATTATTGTACATTGCATAGAGAAATAGCACATAGATAGTTAAAATTTAAATACCTAACCTAAAAATAGATCGTAGGTTGATTTTGAGAGCGATTTTGTTAAAATGTCTTAAAAAAATGTACTTTCGTTTTGTATTTGTTTCAATATAAACTATATTTGAATAAACTAAGAGGTCAGGCGAAATCTATTTCTAACACAATGTTGTATACAGAAATAATTTTATAAAATACACATAATATCTAGATTAATAGATAATTATATATCAGATTATAAATAAGAGCACAAAATTAACATACACAATTTTATATTATATTATTTCATTTATAAGTAAATACTGGTTTCATTAAGCTTTATGTAATTACCATAGAGATGCGAAAATCGAAAGCGATTAGAGAATATAGTTATATGACATGCAAATCCGTGTAAATTGCGAACTTTTTTATAACTGAGTCATGCTATCTGTTTCCAATAGAACTAACCCACAAACATTTACTCAATGTAAAGGCAACATAATGAAGCAAGGTAATGTAGCAAGAACCAGTTAGTTTTATGAACATGCTCGACTTACTGTTAAAATGTACCAACGATTACTTAACGCTTATTACACAGTCTATAGAAGATGGTTATGAATAAAAATGAATTACCTTAGATCTTTTATGATATAATACATGTATGATTAGAGTAAGCCTGGTGGCTAAATGCATGCACATACAGTGAAGGAAAACATGAGAAAACCAGCGCATCTAAGAAAATTTGTGGCGTATGTCAAGCGCCGAAGGATGATGATCACTTCCCTATAGAGAAAAATTATTATGGAAACAAATACAGAATTCTAAGAACAAGACCTATTTGTAGCTGGTTATTTATGATTCTAGCGTTTGAATGTCGAAGATTAAAACAGTCCGAATATATGTGTTTTGCAAGAATTAACTTCGGCCTCATATTGAAATTGTTCGCGTTATTAAAAGTGGTAAACGCTAAGTGGATTACAAGAATCGATCTCAATATTACCAAGTAATATTTTTAGCAGTTTTAACCTCATTTTCTTTATTTTAAAAAAAAGTAAGAACTTCTACGGTGTACCACTTAAATTTAAATTTAAAATAACAGGTGGGTACATTGTTGGTAAGTGAGCTTTTAGGTATTCCTTAATTATGTTAAAAAAACAATGGCGCTACAATCTTTTAGTTCTGGGCTTCAGATTTCTGTATCTGTTTTGTGATCATTTGTTTTTCTAAAAGGCGACCAGCCAGTTTAATTATGTGCCTGACACACACACGTCGACGTTTTCGGTCTCAGGCAAGCCGGTTTCTTCACGACGTTTACCTTTAACGTACGAGCCGGGGTTCGAACCTACGACTTCAGGAATGAGAGTTGCATGTGACACCACATAACAATTTATACTTGATACTTTGGAAAAAGTATCCAACGATGTTATGTACCCATTCATTTAAACCACAAACTACAAAGCCTAGAGATTAAAAATCTGCGTTACACCAGTCTGTTATTAAAAAAACCTATCGTAATGAAAACACTGAATAACTAAGATAAATCACTTGACACACCATTCATCAAATAACTTTGCGGCCATTAGCGTGAATGTACTTTGTACTTTACTAAGCCGTGAACAATGTAACTTAAGTGTTGTATTCACAAAGTGAACTTCATGTGAATATATTATGTAAAATACGGATAACGCAAATGTATTATATTAAATACGGCCAAAATTATAAACTTAATAGTAATTATAAATCGTACTTAAGGACCAAATAAACATTAAATTTGTAATAATTATTCTCGTATGTTAAACTTTTTACAGAATATTTTGTTTTAATTTCTAGAAATAATGAGTTCAAGTAGTCTATATCTGTATTTAAGCGAATCTACGCTTTAACTGTATTCGTCGATTAAAAGTTTGTATTATCTGAGTAAAAACTTTTTTGCAAGATCGCAATTGTTGGTACTTTTTAAGAATAATGATAAAGTGGCACGAATAATGTGGAAAATCTGTGTAAGAAACTCTTTAAAAGGCTTTTATGGAATGATAAATGTGCTTCGACGTATGTGTTTATTTTGCAGCTTTCATGATTCTGAGGAAGAAAACTTTTGAAAACAAGTATCGACTTTTATATACGAGAAACACATTTTTGGATTTCGTCATTTCCAAAGTTTTTTTGCTTATTCAATGTTAATTTAAAGACGAAAGTAATAAAAGGTTCAAAATAACTGAATGAGTTTAATTCAGCGTGCTGGCTTACTGAAACTATTTTGGAAAATATGAATAAATTTCAATTATCCGGCCTAAAAATTCGTATGAAATATTATGAAAGAGAAAGCGCCATCTCTGCTGAAATACAGCGGCTTAGCCACTAACCGTATGTAATGAACAAGACGAAAGACATTTTTCAGGAATTTTATATAGTTTGCACTATCTGCCTATATACATACGTATCTCATAATGTAAATTAGATTGATTTTTAGTTATTTTGGACGTACGACCTTCTGACGTTAAGTCAAAAGTTAAAATTATTTATTCATATAGATAACATAGTACACTTATGAACGTCAAAAAAGAAATACTTATTAAATGCTTTTAATTTTACATTTACTGCCAGTTCTCAAATTAAGGGCCTCGAACGGAAGAGAAGAACTGACAATAAACTCTCCGCCACTCAAAAAATCAATCAAAAATCATTTATTCATGTAGGTAACACAATGTACACTTATGAACGTCAAAACTCTTTTAAGCAAGCCGTAAACCTAAAAAGCGTTTTCTGTAGTCTCAATTTGTCTATTGCATTTTATTACCTCACTTAATATTTACCAATAAAACTAAATAAAATTGTAACTTACAAGTGAATAAATTCAATTCCACTAATTACTTAAGTTTAAAACAAATTGGAACAACTTACATTTCTGTTTAAAATGCAATCAATCTCATTTGCAATTGATTGCTTTCGTAAGCGTGATTGCTTTTAATCCCCTATTGAGGAACTGATTGTCTATTTTATAGGTTAGAGTTTTATTTTAGTATACTTATAAAATATATATATATATTGTGTATTTTGAGTACTAATTTTTATTGTTAATAAATCCTGTATTTATATACCAGTGATATATACTTATATGTAAAAAAACTTATAACAAATGTAATAGCTACGTTATTCCACTGCAGGTACCACTTCGACATTAGAGAAATGTCAAAAACATTACTTGATATAGATTTATTTGTTACTTTTGATTAGACTATAAATAATTAACACGATTTTATATGAAATGAATATTTGCCTTGAACGATGAAAAAGCTTTTGGGCCGTTCTACGAATTAAATTCCGAACAAATTGTTTTAAAAATATCAGAATGGCAGTTAATTCTAATATTTCAGTATTTCAAGTTACTCTTGATATATCTGGGTTTTGACATCAGTTTAGGTTTCAAGTGCCATCAATTCCAATGTTCTAGCTCTACTACCGATTCCCGAAATTCCATGAATTTCTACGAAGTGCCAAACATTAATTGATTTACCCAATAATATTGATGCATTTCTTATCTTATATCAACATATAAATGTATTGAAAAGATCATATAATATGTCCTGTTTATCGACTACATTAGACTTTTATATATATAATCTTAAATGGTCTGTTAAATTAAATGTACTCACTACGATTTTCTTAAGTGATGTTTTACGACACATTTTATACTGAAATTTAAATTAAAACATTTAGTACGTACGTGCAAGGTGCAAGTATCACTAGCACGATAGCAACCGAGCGCGTATTTACCACGAATATTTTTTTATATTGATAGATTTAATTTGAGTAGTCGGCTTTTGCCTTAAAAAGCATACGAAATATACGATACTAATTTTGTCTATATTGCTCTTCAAATATTATTTCTAGACAATTAAACTGTTACAAATTAGTATACTACGTTACAAACAAAACAGGATCGCGAAAGACAAATGTACTCACTCTTCGAAGCCCAAAGCTCTCCAGCATTAAGAGCGTTGATATACGTTCTCAAATCGGCTTCGCACTCAGGCGACACTGTTCGGTTAGGACTAAGCAATTCCAACCAGTCATGGTGGTCCAATAAATCTTTCATCCACGCCATTCGCGAGCCATTTCGTACAGTGTCATTACTAGCACCCACTGCACTCACTAACACTAAAATTGTCACAAGCATCTTGAATTCACACATATTTGAGCACATCCAATTTGTCTGTTTAATCGCTATACAGACGGATCTCAGAACTTGTCACCCATACTGCTAGTCTGTAACAAGAGAACGTATTAATTAATTAAGTATTCATGACATAAAATGGGCAAAATTTGGGCATGAGATTGATGAACAGGTCTTGTTCATTTATTTTTCTATTAAACAGATGATATCTTACTATCTAATGCTCCGATTATCAGGAAATGTTCTGATCGAGTCAATTGACCATTGATTTTTTTGCTGCTTTGGTTAATATTTGAGATTCCTTCTTTTACTTTTAAAAATCATAATTTATTTTGATTAGATTTGCTTTGTTATCATTTATTTTTTTCATAATTGAGAATCATTACTTAACGAATAAAAGTACGAATATTTAGTTACGACCAATGAGAGCCGAGCAAATGCGCCATCTTGACTTTGCACAGTGCGTTCAGGGAACGCAGGGAAGTTCTGATTGAGTATTCAGTGGAGCATTGTGGTGAGACGTTGGACAGAGTTGTTTATGTGATTTGTGGTTGAGTAGATTGTGATTAAAAGTGACATTGGTGCCTTGACCCCGCTGCTCCTTATAATTTAAGCTAAAGTGTTATTTATATTGTTAAAAGGAATCAATCTAAATAAAATACTGTACGATAATTATTCTTGTCACAGGACGCCTGAGCCTGCTTATGACGATGTCCAGACGTCCAGTGACGATATCTCTCCGACATATATCTTAATATATATATTTCTTGTGTGCGTGTGTATGTGACTGAACTTCTCTCAAACGACTGGACCGATTTTGATGAAATTTTTTGTGTGTGTTCAAGGGGATCTGAAAATGGTTTAGATTCACAAATCAGCCCGGCAGATGGCACTGCAGTCGGTACTTTCATACTTTGCTTAATATCCTAATCGCTTTAAATATCATGCAGGACAACGTCTGTGGGCTCCACTAGTATACATATATATACTTAACGAAATTTTAGAAGTTGTCTTACGGGACATTAATTATTAGTTAAGTTAAAACGAGAGCTATTGGAAATTAGAAAAATAAACTAAAGTCTAAGTAAATGTAAGTAAATGCATAGTGTCGTGAAATAATCTATTTTTTATTTAACCAACTTTCTCTTTGTTCTAAACTAAACTAAAATAAAATATGAATCTAGTCAGAAAATCTAATGCATCAACTAAAACGATTTTCATGTTCTTCTTAACTTCCTTTCTACGTCCATTATCCAAGTGATTCTCTCCTTGAACATTTGCTAACATACGGCTTTGAAGTGAATTTTCTGACAAAGCACTTCGTTCATGTGTTACCGCCGGCTTTACTACAATATATTCATCATATCAACTTGTAAAGGGATTTATGATAAAAAAGTAAAATCATGTTCAATAATTCGAACAGATATTGAAGTTAAGTTTCGAGCATTCTAAGTTTAAGAATTCACAGAGCAACACAAAAATAACTATGACTGTGAAATATTCTACATTAATATAGTCTGTGCATTTCTTTATGTTAGCAATACTTTTGTAAATGTATTATATTTAGCCAATGGACTTTGTATCCGGCTAATAAAAAAAATTATTATATTTATTATACGTAGGATTATATAGATTATGTATGTTATTCAATGCCTTCTATTCATAATTTTTAGGGCATTCAATGTTTTGTTGTGTTGTATTGTACCTATTATGTAGGAGAATTTATGCTTAATAATGTAACAATAAAGGAATCTTAAAGGCCTTTGTAATAGTGATTGTAGTGAAGTGAAATAACAAAAAAGTGAATAAAACGATCCTTTGGTTTGGCATGTTATAGATAATTAATCAATACACACCTGATTCAGGGTTTTTTGTAAAAAAAATATTCTAATAAAGCCCTGTCTTTCTGCAGATTCTCGTCTAATAACTAACATAAATTAATTTATTCCTTTCCCCTGAACTTTATTGATTTAAGTATAATATATAATTATGTTAAATATACTGCGGTCTCTGGTTTTCTACGCGATTATGATAACAATAAACCAAGATAACACTCAAATAGTAGGTATCAACTATCACTCAAGTTCAATTACACGCGGTACAGTTAAAAATAGTGTTATATTTTTATTGCGCTTTACGTAATGCCAGTTTACTTATTAACATAATACTGACATAACGTGAATACCTAAAGGTGATTGACCCGATTTCAAAGAGAAATCAAGTATGCCGTTTACCTACTTATTGACAAGTTAACTACCTGAATTATATCTAGAAAATTTGCCAACAAAATTGCAATGTTAAAATCTTACATTAGTTAACGAGGTAGTTATGTCAGTGTTCTTTAATAATTTCTTGATAATTTCAATCATAAACTTACTGGACGACAATTGTCAATTAAAGTTTTAATTTATTTTAAACGTCTGCGAATGCTTAAATGGAGTAATGTGTACTTATTTATTTAACACTTCGTAGTAATATCGGCACAAATTATAATAATTAAATAATAGACAAGGCAACGGGCGGCCACGTTTTCGAGCGATCTCTTCCAATTATCAAGGTTATTGTTTGCCCTAATCACCGATTGGAAATGGAGATGACATATTTCTGCATCTTTCATAAAAAAATATATTTAAGTACGACAAAAACAGTCTCCGTATTAATTAATGCTCCAGAAAAGTAATAACTTCGTCGGATCGGAAGGGATTTCATAAATCCACGAAAGCTTTTCCAATTAGGAGAGAAAAATATCAAAGAGATAAAGCGAAATTCTGAGCCCCTGGTTGTTCGTATTAACTCTACAACTACATAAGAACAATGTAGACGTGATAAACCGACAAATCTATCGAGAGATAAACTTTCACATAATAGTTTATTTACAGGATCGTTTGTGGTTGTTGTGTTGTATGTTTAAATACTAATAAATAGTATAATAGCTGTACGCACAAAAAGTTAGAAGGCATGTTTGAACTCGTCAGACGAATATTTAAAAAATATTTAGAACCGGGGTTTATTAAATTGATTATTATATAAAGTAATAAAATATATACATAATTATTATTATTAAATACAATATAATGTGCAGCAAAATTCCTTACAGCACATTCTAGCATGCATGTTCTAGTCTCTTTTAGAAGGCGGATGCTCCTGCCTTGCTCTAAAATTATAGTATCTTAAGATAAAATGTATACAGTTCTTTTAAAATACGAAACAGACCTTTCAGACCAAATTAACATTTAGGAAACAATTGCCAACATTGTACCAATAAACCTTTGATATTTTTACCTATATGTATTTTTGTATTGAGTAGTTTAGTGTAGATTAATGTTCGGTGTTGTATGTTTATTATATATATTATATTATTTATGTTTCGGTATCTGGAAGAAACTGCTTCATCTCACATCCTTCATTTATTTAAGATTATTTTTCTCCTATTTTGTGTTAGTGTGATGTAAATGAAGTGTTATTATTATGGTTACATCTAGAATAGAATCTTAGAAATCTTTCTTAGAAGTTCTTTGATAGATAGAAGAAAATAATATGTAACATAGTCGTAACAGAAGTGCCGGACGAACCTCACTCACTCAGGTATATTATCAAATTGAATTTGAATTATCTTCGACGGTCAATGATCTCGTTTCACGATAATGAAATTACCCGATCAAATGGTATTTCGGTATATAAAATCCAAAAGCGCGGACAACTCTTCTTTGAAACCTTTGAAATATAACGGTTCAACAAGTCTGTTCAAGAAATAACAAGATTTTGAAACCGCAATTTATAGAGTTGGTAACAAAATATTTTGTTACGCAAATTAATTTAAAAGCTGGCGATCGGTTTCATTTTCCCAATAGAAGATGTGTTTTAAATAAAAAAATGCCTTTAGAAATAAATTAAACACCTACGCTGACATATACCTATATTAATAATTGCTATTATTATCAGTAACTTTAATACAGTTGTAAATTTGTTATCCCTAGCCATTTGAGGTAGACATTAAATTCACGTTTAATTCACACACCCACACATATTCACATTGTTTATTACGAGTACGTTCAGTCTTATATAGAATGTCTTTAAATATTTTCTATCTGTGATGGAAGGCTGGTCACCACAGCATTTCTATATTCCTTATAGAGGCACCAGCCTCTCACAACGATGGTTAATACCTCCAGCATTTAAATAAGTAAATTATTATGATAGTTGTTCTCCAAAAATTTTAACATTATCCAACAAAACTTTTTTTTCTCAAAATTCGTTATTTTGTTAAATGAAATGTTGCGTAGTAACTATGTGTATGTTATTAAAATAACTGACTAGGAAACAGGACACACATTAAAAATACCTGTGTGACTCAATTTTAGAAAGTAGACAATTTCGTAAATTAACATAGATTACATAACCACGCATTTTGCTATTTTAATAATCACTTTGATGGATTTGTAAAATATGAGAATTCGAGAAAGTTATTCAAAATGAGTTTTTTACTTCTTTTAAAAGAAATAAGAGTTTTTGGAATGGAGAGACAACTGAGTCGTGGCTAGGCACTGGCACACACAGGCAGAGTTAGAACCCTGAGGACGTGCGTTCGAGCGGTAATGTTTTTTAGTATCTGTTTGCGCAATTAATTCTTTCTTATACAGTGAAGGATGGCAATGTGAAAAAATTAGCACGTATAAGACCTCAATATCGACGGCGTATCTTAGACAAAGAAGGAAACAGATACCGAAATCTGAGGACAGGATATGAAAGCTTTAGTGCCTATTTTATGGACTAAAATTTATATATTATGATGAAAAAGGTACAGCTCTTAAGGTATTCTTTACTATTTTTATTTCGTTTACATGTGAATTTTTATACTTAATGATACTTCAACCAAAATCTAATAATGTTGATTGAATTTCGCGAAATTGAAATATACGTAGCAAAATTACTTTTGTGGAAAGTTTGATAGAGTATTTCAAATGCTTTTACTTTTTATCTATTTACATTTAAAGGTACACTGCCACAGGGACCAAACTTTTAAAATTTGT